TGGAGGCGCGCAGGGTCCGCCGGCCCCGCGCCCCTCACAGCGCCCGCCGCCCTCAGCGCCGCCCGCACCGCCAGCACCGCCGCGGGGATCGGCCCTGAGGGGCGCCGTGAGTCGGGGGAGCGGGGGGAAAGCCGTGAGGGGGAACCTGCGGGGCAGCGCGGCGGGGACGGGCCGTCCTGAGCGGGGAGCGGTGCGGGTGTCCCCGGTGCTCGTGTGTGTTCCCGGTGCTCGTGTGTGTAATCCCCGGTGCGTGTTCCCTCCGGGTGTGTGTCCCTGTGACCCCCTCGGTGCTTGTTGTGTCCCCCTTGGTGCCTGTCCCCGGTGTGTATCGCTGTTTCGTCTCCCTGTGCCGTTTCCCTGTCCCCGCCGTCCCAAATTCTCGTACCCCCGGCCCCCATCCCGGTCCTTCCCCACATTTTGGGGTGATTCTGTCACCCCTCGGCGGGATCCCCATGGACATTTCCCACAGGGATAACGGGTCATCCCCCYTGCTTGTCCCTGCGTGTCCGGCCCCGAAGGTGACCCTGGGTTTGGGTGGTCAGTGCCCCATCCATGGGGATGTTTTGGGGTTCCGGAGACGAAGAGTTAAATAAACCGACTTGTTTTTCTTGCCTTGTGGACACGTGATGGTCATACTGGCTGGGTTTTGGTGGAAATAGCATTTGGGTGTGTAATCAAAACCTAAAATTGCAACTGCTGTCCGGCTGGTTGGTTTTTATTATGGATTTTGCTTTTCTTCAGGCGCGCTGAAATACGAAGTTCTAAACTAAACCGAGCTCTGTCTGTCTGATAGAGTTGTTCCTTCTTTTTTGTGTGTRTGAGAGGGGGTTTAGTGCTCTAGGGATGGAGTTGTAGGTATTTAATCTCTGTTGAAKTGCTTTCTTCAGCAAAATGCAACAAAAAAAACCTCCACAGAGCTGAGTGATCAAGCACCCAGGCTCTGTAGCCACGGGACAAGGGGTACCAGTTTTGTGTAGAACATTGTCCTCTGATGCCCCGAGAGAAAGTTGATAATAAAGTATAAAATGTTTGGAATTACTGATAAAATTTCTAAGAAATAAGTATAAATGCTGCAGCCTTGGAGATGGGTTAAAACATCATCAGGACTTTGTCAGGATGGACCCTGCAGTAATCCTTTAACCAGGATGATTTAGGGCAGGGTATTTGACAGGAAAAGTTTGTTACGAAATAACTGCTTACAAGCATGCTTGTTATAAAATAAAATTAAATCCCTTGGTGATTTGCAGCCTTGTGCTCCTTTTGGAGCTTGTGTCCTGCATAAAGATGGTTTGATGMAATCTTAGGGAAGTTTTGATGCACAGGAATGTTCACTGAAATTGAAAATGGGAAACTGCAGTGAAACAGGACTTGGGTRCATGTGAGAGGTGATTCACCTGGCTGCTGTGTCACCAGCACAGATATTTAACACTTTCTCAGTTGTCCTTCATTCTGCAATGTTGGGCATTTCAATACTTGTTTTTCCTCKTGTTGTTTTTATTTTGAACGTGATTTAAAACAGAGCAGCCTTTTCATGAGTTTGTTACCATGTGCTTTGAAGTTTTTTGGATCCCATCCTGGAAGCTGTTCAGTGGTCGTTTTGTCTTATGTCAAGTCTGCTTATTCAATAAAGGTCTTGTGAGGGAATGTTAATTAAACAGTACATGGTGTAAGCTGTAGTTAAAACATCCTGAATTGGAAAGTATTACATGGAGGGAATATCAAGTTCTTAGGCTGTATTTAGTAGGTCTGTACACTTCTTACTTCCAGTTTTGTGCTAATCTGATTTTCTTTACTGTCAGCATCTGTCAGATGAACATTATTCAATCAAAGTCACATGGAAACACATCTTGCTTATTACATAAATTATTGTACTCTGCTTCCCTTACTCAGCTAACAGGCACAAAATTTATATCTATTGAGCTTGAATTGYCTAAAAATAGAGGTGCATTTCTCTAATCTTAGCTAGACAAAATTCCACGTCTGTTGCARGGGCTGTTTCCCAAGTGGTGGTCACAGGTGATGCAGCAATGAGTAACCCCCAGCTAAACATTGATACCTTTCCAAAGGCAGGATAYGATAAATTATTAATGGCTGGCAGTAATTGCACCTCTCTGTAGTGCTGCTCTCCTCGGGTAAGCCTAAGCTACAACAGGAGCAAAAGCACTTTCTAATTTGATTAGGTGCTGCTYCTGTCTCATTTAGTAATGAGTGTAAAATTACAGCTGCATTTTACTGAGGGTTTTGCTGTCTGGATGCTGCTGAAATTGTGGCGATTGSCATCCTCTGGGGACTTTTCCCCCAGAAATCCTCATTGTGTGATGATTTCCCAGAGCCATAATCCATTTTAATGGTTACAGGAATGTTCAGTTCCTCTCTCTGCAGGATAAGGTGGGTAGTTTATCCAAAGCGATGAAACASTTGGAGAAAACATCTGCAAWTTTTTATTGAACCAACTTTTTCCCYCRWGTTGGAATCAACTGCCTTGAGGAATGTGCTGTTCCTCTGCCCTGCACTCACTTGGATACTATTTGTTTATAGTTTAGTGTTTGTTCATACACGGAAAGTTGGTTTCTATTTATATTCTGATAAGACTTCTTCTCTGCTTGCTTCGAGTAACGATGAGAACCTGCACGCAAGGTTTCTTAAACTTCTGCAATTATTTCARGTTTGGGTTTTGTTTTGGTTTGAGGTTTTTTTTACTTCTGCAGAGCTGTTCTCTAACCAGCTGTTTATCTTTCATTTGTGCTGGTTGTTCGTGGAACTGAAATACTGCGCATTTGTCCTTACTTTGTGCTGTTTGTTTTGGACCATCTCCCCAGTTTGTCCAAAATGAGTTAAAGACTTGGGTATCGTCCTCCAGCTTGTTTTTGTCTCTTTTCAACTTGGTATTAAGCTTTTTTTTTTTCAAAAGCTGAGGCTTATTTAGGTTGTTTCTATTGCTGTTGTTTGATGGGTTTTTTTTCTCTTTGCTCTTAGAGTATTCCGGTTTTATCTGTTCAATATATGTATCACCCAACAGGAAACTTCATMGTTTTTCCTGAGCCTTGATTCCTTGGCACATATTAAAAGCTTTTCTTTCTTTTCAATCTCTAAAAAAAAATTAATTTTATCTCTTATGTAACTGAAAACACAAATCTATGCTTGAAACAGCTTTGTGCTGAGCCTCTTCTCAATCTGGGAATACAATGGTCATTTTTAATTCCAGGGTCTTCTGATTATCTTGAAGAACTTCCCAGTTGCCCAGATTCTTTGGAGAAGTGGTGATTAGTGTGAATTCTGTGTTTTGTGTAACATGCTCCTCCAGCTTTTCTTGCAGGGACTTTAAAGCACTTTAATAGCTGATAAACAATTACAAAAATCACTGTGGGAAAGGTGGGAAAACCTCACCTTGGTCAGCAGTGCTAACCACAGAGCAGCAGCTACAAAAAGCAGGGAAATGGCTCAAACCACGGCTCATGTCAGCAGCAAAGCTCATCTCCTGGACAATTCCAGGAATTTCTTCATGTTGASCACAGTTCCAGTAATTAATCCAATACTTAATATACTGAGAGAAGAGGGAGTTTAGGGATTGTGATAGCAAAGCTTCCGTTTTTCTTTTCAGCATTTCAAATTCAACCATCATTTGAATATAAAGGAAAGCTCTGTTACCTTTGTGAAAACTGAGGTTTTCCTTTTCTCTCTCCATCGCAGGGATTGAATTTCTCTCTGGCTGAGGTTCCTTCAGCTGCAGGATGGAGATGAGTCGGGAGAAGCTGTGTGCCAGCAAGGCTGAYGGGGGCTCAGACTCTGCCTACCACTGCTCGGCGTGTCACGACCCCGAGGAGTGGGGCAGCACGAGCCGGGGACGAGCCAAGTCACGGAGTTTGTCTGCTTCACCAGCCCTTGGAAGCACCAAAGAATTCAGGTAAGGCCCCTCCTTCTTCCTCTTSTTGTTAAAATAAAAAGTTAACTGGATTTGAGTTGGTTTTTTTTGTATGTGGCCTTGAAGGATTCTTAAAGTGCAACTCGGAAAGTTCAAAGCAAAGGCGGGGAGTTCAAGGCAGGGAGTTGACTCAGAACAGATTCATAATCAGAATCTCATGGCTTGTCAAAACAGCTGTCTGCAGAGCTCATAGTCTCAAAAAAAAATCAATCAACAGTTGAGACAATTCTTCAGACTTTCACAGAAGCTTGAGTCAGAGCTTTAGTGCTGTGTGTTAAAAGCCTGTGTGATAGGTTATGTGTGAGGCAGCAGAAAATAAGTTTGTGTTTACAGACGGTTTCAGAGCAGTGAGAAACACCCTTTTTTGATTGGAGCCAAATTTCTGATCTCATTGCAAGGCTCTTGTCATGTGGACAGGGCRGTTGGAACTTCTGGTTTGGTGCTCTTTGGACCCGCTGTAAATATTGAACAGCGGGCAGGGGCAGCGCCGTGTCTTGATCTTGTGGGAGGCACGGCACAGCTTCACCTTCCTTGTGCTGTGAACGTCCTTAAAGCACGGGCAGAGGCACGGGGRAGCTGCTCAGCTGATGGAATTCCGGTCCAAAACTCCTGCTTGGCTGGTAGGAATGTTCTTGGGAGGCCACAGCACCTTTGGGTGAGGCTGAGGATCACAGGGGGTGGCTTCGTGGGGAAGGGAGGTGAACTAAAAACCTTGGGTTGGAGAGGCTGAAAGATGAGGAAAATTCCTGCTCTGCCTGTGTAATTCAGTGAATTTGCTGCTTTTGGGAATTGTTTTCTGAGGGCTGTGCTCTGTTGTACCTCTGGTTGTGTGTGTCTAATCAATACACAGAGCTCAATATTAAAATCACGCTGTAAAACCGGTGTGTTTCCCCTTCTCTGCTTAAACCTTTCAGTCAACCTCTGTAGAAAACCACGTGGTCTCAATTTTGGTTATTAATATTATTTCCTAGCTAAACAGCCACTTTTTTCAACCAGAAGCTCTCTGTCCGTTGTGAGTTTGAATGAGGGTAATTGCTTCCGAGATTTCTTCATTAAGATGCTCTGCAGTCATTCACTGGCTGTCTTCAATTTGGAGCTCGATTGTCTCAAGACATTTTTGCAGGAAATGCTGCTCTCAGGCTTCCTCTGTGCTGTTCAGCTCGAGGTAGCTGCCCAGCTGCTGGRAACTGATAAGTAGATTTCCCTCAAAGATGTATAATTTCCAGGGCATTGCTGCTCATTCTWAGCAAAGCAGCCTGACTGTGAATAACTTGAAATTCAGTTCATTGTATTGAGCTGAATAATAAAATAATAAACCCAAATGAAATCTCGGGGGAAATGTACAGCAGTTATTAATTAGGGTTTGCAGAGGAAATTTTTGGGATGTTGCAAAGGTTGGATGTGGACTTTTAATGCCTCGTGTGGGATCAGATTTTGGCCAATTATTGGGAGTGGCCAATTTTTTTAATTCCACCTGTATCGGAAGAAGGTAAAAATTAGTTATCTGGGAGGAGCTGGAGTGGAGCAAGAAGTGGGAGGTGAAGCTGCCAGGGTGTTATTTAACTCTCCTTATTCCAAGGATAATTGTTCATAAGAAGGTAGAGACTTATCCCTTTGCCCATATTGGCACACACACATTAATCTCTTGTTATGTCAGTCCTTGGTCATTTTTCTGTTTTAATATACATAAGGAAAACTTCATAAAGCTATTAATAATCTGTTATCTGACTTGGTTAGTCATGCCTGGACTTAGAAAAAAAAAATTTGGAAAACAAGTAACAAATTCTGGCTTCGTTATTGGAATTCGAATCTTAGGCTCTCATCTTTTATCAGGCATGGAACAAACAAGATGCTGCTGTTGTTCCTTAATTACATCCATATGTTTAACCTGTGATCTGGTTTTGATTTTGATTCGATTTCTGAGGGTTTTTTTAGCCCTAGGAGTGAGTCATCGGGCTGGTCTGAGCTACTTTGTAACACACAATAGAAGGCACTGCAGTGCTGATTGTTAATGCCGAGCAATAGATAATTGAATTTAGCCCAGGAAAAGCATGTTTCCCCCTTCTTTTTAATGGGATAATTGCAGTCACATAATGCTTCAACAGTTGCACGACTTGAGCAGGTTTTGCTCCCATTTCCAGCTTTGCAGGAGGAGGTGGGAGGGAGTRAGGCAGAAAAGTTCTGACTTGCTCCAGGTAATCTCATCCTAGAGCCAGAAATGACCCTGAGTCCTGGGTGAGCTTCAATTTTCRGGATAAATGGCACCTCAGAGTTCCTGTTTATTTGAAGACAAATCTCTTATTAAAGAAATAAATGGGGGGAGATTGCCATTTTTTTCAACCTGTTCAAAATTGCAGCCTGCTACTGCASATAAAAATTCTTGTGTACCTTAGATTGAAGAATTTCTGTTTGATTAATTTATTGAGGGTGTTTAAATGCCCTAGACACACATTAAAATGCCAGAAACATCTGAAGGTGCTGGAGAACTCCTTGTAAATGCTTGTCAAGGCACTGGGAACCCAAATGAATGTTCATTACAGCYCTTAGTGAGGGGAAGAGCACTCACTGAGCCATTTCATCCATATTTATCCCAGATTCATTCTGAAAACACACTTTTAGATAAGATGGAGTGCTTTGAGAAACACAGAATAAAAGTGTTGTCGCTGTGCCTGCAGCAGCAACACTGGTGTCACTTAGGAACTGCTGCAGACATTGGAAATGTGAGAGCTAATCTGGAAAATTACCCTGCCTGGGCAGCACTCGGGGAGGTTTCAGAAATGCACTTTGCCCTGTATTTCTCAGTGCAGCAGCTTTGGTGTTTGAGCAGCCAGATATCTCCACTTTGCCATCACATCTCTCCTTTCCTCACTGATGGTTTGTTCTGCTTTCAGGAGAACGCGCTCCTTGCACGGACCATGCCCAGTGACCACGTTTGGACCAAAGGCCTGTATGCTGCAGAATCCTAAAACGATTATGTGAGTGCTCAGCACACCATTGTTCTCCTTCTGTGGCAAAGAAACCACTTTTCTTTTCTGCTCATTTCACTTTTTTCACCCCATGATCAGCACTGTTTGTGTTTTACCCGATATTTCGAGGTTTTTATGTTGCTGGGGTTGGCATTGCCACCAACTGCAATGCATATTTGATGTCTGAAATGCCAACTCTTAATATTTCCAATCCAACAGAATTATTCTGGGTAACACAAGGGAAGGAAAAGGAATTGTTCTGTGTGCTGTGAAATCTGAGGATCCCTCAGAATCACCTTCTCCCTCCCTTGATTATGATTGAATTTGCAGTTTCAATTTTTGTGTGATCTTTGGTACTTCCAGTTAAGGCAAATTTGCTTTTGGACTGCTGATAAATGTGGAAATAAGAGCTGGTTTCTGCTTGGTGGACAAATAAACATTGCAGTTTTGTAGTTTGGGTAGCATTGAAGTGTTGCTTTCTACACCAGGCATTATCTTCTTAATAAATGGGCTCTTGACTTGGCCAGATGAGGAATTTCAGGGTTTAACCAAGGTTGTGCCCCTGATTTTGGGGGGCCCTGAAACTGTGAGAAAGCCAGAGAAACTGTGGCTGCCCCATCCTTGGAAGTGTCCAAGGCCAGGCTGGAGCAGCCTGGGATAGTGGAAGGTGTGACTGGATGGGTTTAAGGCCCTTCCAACCCAAACCATTCCGTGATTTTTGTCCCCCTTTAAAAAATTTTATTTAATAGCTCTTCCAGTTAAATGTAAGATACTGGAGTCAATATTTATTTACYTCAATCTTCCCTCTGTAGACAGTCACCTTCCTGCTGAAATCCACCCCTTTCTTGGGAAAGTGTGACACAAATCCCTCCCTTCTAGAACTCAAGAGCTTCCTCATTCTCCCAGGGTGCTKCAAAGGACCCGGGGGTGCTGAAATCCAGCCCAGGTTGTGTTTACCCACCTGAGCTGGGGAATTGCTCCTCCCAGGGGCTGGCCCAGTCGGGGTTATAAGGACAGGGACAGGAAAGTGCCAGGGGAAAGCTTGGGCAGGCAGAGCTGGGCAGCAGAGGTGCCCTCGGGGCTGCTGAAGGGAAGGGCTGTTGGAAAAGCAATTTTTAAATTACTTTTCTTGCTACACCCAAGGTTTTGTGGCTTTTAAAAACAAGCAAAACCTTGTTGGTGTGCTTTTTTTTTTTTTCCTCTGCAGTTAATAATTTGGTTAAACTCACTGTTGGGGTTTTTTTTCTCTTCTGCAATCAGTAATTTGGTTAAACTCTCCTCGCTGGGGGCGTTTTTTGAACAGAAAATTGTGGTTTTTATGTGCAGGCTTAAGTTAGGAGAGATTTGGTGTCTCTTTCAATGCARCCAGCAGCTCGAGAATTTGCAAACCTTCTTTTTGATGAGCAGATGAATTGAGGGAAAACTCAGTGAAAAAAGGATCAGGGGCTTGTGGTCTTGAGCMCAGGAAAGGACAAATACCTGTTTATTTTTTTTTTTAAATGGGATTTTCCATATGAAACCTTGCTTCTGAAGATCTGGGAAAGAAGTTTTACACGAGATTTTTCTGTAAAGCTTCACAACTTTTTATCAGAACTGATTGAAATCTTTGGTAGAAGAAAAAAATTTTTTTTCAGAGAAAAATGTATTCTTCTGAGGTTGCAGTTATTAATAAGTGATAAAAGCCTTGGCTTTTTAATTTTTTGGAGCTGTTGCATTTGCCTGAGCCCTGGAAAGAAACATGAAGATCTTAAAGCAAGCTATGAATAATTTTTCATTTGGTAGAACTGCATGGAATTGGTGAGTAGAGATTAAACGGGCAGCCTGGCTTTTGTTTGAATGAATTTTCTGCAGGTTCTGGGTCTGTTCAGTGCTGCAAYCTTTAATTCTTGTCAGCAAGAATTAAAGAATTTARTTAAGAATTTATTGATATTGGAGTTCTGCATTAATTTCTGCTGTATTTGTAGGTCAAATATAGGCACTGAAATTAAATGGATTTTAAATTTACATTGAGCTGTTTGACTTAGAGTATCAGATAGGGAAAAAAATAGGGTTTTTTTCTGCTTCTCAAATTGAAAGTTCAGCACTGAAAGGAGGCAGAGGGAAGCAGCTTTGTGGTGTCAGTCAGTGAAGAAGTTGCTGTGAGAGTTTTTGTGGTGCTTCTGTTCAGTTCCTGGGTGCCCAGGCTGTTCCCAGGGCAGCAGAATGATCAATTCTGGCTTATCAGCTGCACTATAAAACACAAAAACACCACTGCAAAGTGAATTCTTGCTTTTCCCTGCCTGCTCTGAGCACATCCCAAAGGTGTCAGACCCCATTGTGGTGACATTTGGGGTTTTTCTGTCCCCCAGGCACATTCAGGACCCAGCAAGCCAGCGGTTGACATGGAACAAACCCCCCAAGAGTGTCCTTGTGATTAAGAAGATCCGTGATGCCAGTCTGCTGCAGCCCTTCAAAGAGCTCTGTGTGTACCTCACCGAGGTAAGAAAAGAAAATATTTCCTGATTCTGTGCAGAATTATATTGTGCAAACAAATCTTTATAGCCGTGATCACTGCATGGGATAAAATTTGTTGCAGAGCTTAAGATTGGTGTGAAGTACCTTAAGTACTGAGCTTAAAAYTAAAAATATTAAARTAAAAACTTCCCTWCTGTTTGCAGTTCTGAGTGACTGGGAATGGGATMTAAAAAGTTTAAACCTTTAAGCCAAGAGCAAACACAGCAATGTTGCTGTATCATGTAATCCATATCCTAAGCTTTAGTTTATTAATAATTTCTATTCTATATATTTATGATATATATTCATTTTTTCTATATAAAATTTATATATTTTATATGTATTTTATATAGATATATTTGTATTTTAATTTTTTATTAAATATTTATGTATTATATGTTTATATCATAGTTTTATTTTTGATTAAATATTTATGCATATTTATATAATATATTCTATTTTGCTTAAATATTTATRTATATAKTCTATATATATTATTTATATAATAGCTGCACACAATGCAAAATTCTCATTAGGATCAGACCACACMTTAAAAACAACCAGCAGATGCAGAACAGCACTGTAAAATAATATTTCTGGGTCTTAAATGAATGGAAATTATGGTCAAATGTGTTCTTAGGAGGTCACTGACAAAAGTCATTTTCTCTCCCTTCAGGAGAACAACATGATTGTGTACGTAGAAAAAAAAGTGCTGGAAGACCCTGCTATAGCTAATGATGAGAATTTTGGACCAGTGAAGAAGAAATTTTGCACCTTCAGAGAAGGTATGGAAATGAGTTCTGGAAAGGACAGTTGGAAATTGATTTTTTTAATTTTTTTTTTTTTTTTTTTTTAGTTGTTGGGTCAAGTTTATAAAATAAGTTGTCTTTTGCAAACAGTTGTTCTCACATCTTATTTATTGGTTTTTTTTTTACATTTGCGTGCTGCAACTTGTAATTTTTCTTCCTAATTTTGGTTAGGAAATTAAAGTGGTAGATCCAACTTATCTCAAAACTTTTTATTTCAATGTTGCTCCTAGATTATGATGATATCTCCAATCAGATTGACTTTATCATATGTCTGGGAGGAGATGGGACCTTACTTTATGCTTCTTCACTTTTCCAGGTTGGTTCTTATGGAAAATATTTTCTATTTGAAATATTTAAAAGTGGGATTTCCCCCCCCTTTATTACTGAGTTCAACATTTGTCCTTTTGTTATTCATTCCTTCTTTTTTTATCCTTTTTTAATCCAATCTTGTGAAAATGCTGTCGAGTGTGTTGTTTTTATTAAACACAGTTGAAGTTACACCAATATCAAATTATTTACAGGCAATTAGTTGAAGTATGAATTGCTTTGACTSAGTAGCTTTAAAACTCTTTTCTTTATTGATAGGGTAGTGTCCCTCCAGTTATGGCTTTTCATCTGGGATCCCTTGGATTTCTTACTCCATTTAATTTTGAGAATTTTCARTCCCAAGTCACTCAGGTTATAGAAGGTAAATTTAAGGGTGTGGTGTCTGTTTGTTTCTTTTTCTTAACCCACTCTTGGAGGTCGGCCCTTAAGATTTGAGACTGGAGAAATGTATCTTAAATTAGCAGAAATGTATCTTAAATTAGCAGAAATGTGTCTTAAATTAACAGAAATGTAATAAATTAACAGAAATTTTACATTGCATTGACCCATCCAGTGCTGCTCTGTAAAAGCAAAGGGCTAAGAAATAATTTGTGCGGTAAATAAGATAATGGAGAGTTTATGTTAAGGGGCAGCTAAACATAGAAATAAAATGCAGTGTTTGAATTCTGAGAAGTCAGGCWAATAAAATATTTGAGGAAGTCAGTTCTTCAATGTGAGAGTATTTTAAGTTGCATCTAAAGTAGATTCCTGAAAAAAATGTTTTTAATCTATGTTTCTAATGCTTTAATTTTCTTTAAGCTTAGCTTTTGTCTTACTGAAGATCACATGAGCYCAACAGTGTTTCCCAGTCTTAATCATGTTGATATAAAATTTAAATTTTCTTTTTACATAATGAGAAAAGTGGGAAGGAAGTGGGTTGAAATTTGACTTTGATTTTGCTCCTTATTGCTAAAAATCAGTTTTGAGCTTTAGCCAAGTGTAGCCAAATACRTTGTGGAGGAAACTGGGAATGTTGAAAGCTCAGGAATAGATGGATGGCATTTCCTAGAGTCTGTTAGTCATTGCTGAGCTTTATTTTTTATTTCAGAATTTCATTTCTGTGTATTTTGCTCTGTGTTTCCCCTCCAGGCAACGCAGCCCTCGTTCTCCGGAGCCGGCTCAAAGTGAAGGTGGTGAAGGAGCACAGAGAGAAAATGACTTTACAGAATGGGATAGAGGAGAATGGAGTTGTGTCTGCAAACCTGGAGAAGGAAGTGGGCAAGCAAATTATGCAATATCAGGTCAGAGGGCAAAACAAGAARTAAAACCCCATTTATTGTTTGTAACTTTGGACTTGTTCTGTTAAAACTCTGCCCCTGCAGTGTGGGGCTGCTCCAACCCACAGTGTGTTTTAARTGCTGAGGAATTGCTGCACATGATTTCCTTTGTGCAGTCAGAAATGCTCATCTTRGACTTGGCTGTAGAAATCATTTCACAGAATCATTYAGGCTGGAAAAGTTCTCCAAGATTGAGTCCTACTTTCCTTTGATTTTGAAAACAAAATAGTAGATGTAAAGCAAGATACCCCAAAGATTTTTTGTAAATGAGAAGGAAAACTCTGCCCCAGCTCCTGGAAGTAATTCTTAACACCTCCAAACTTCAGCTGGTGCTTGATACAACAGAAATGTACAGAGATTTCATTTGCAGGTGCTAAATCAGCACAGATGTGCAAAGCAGGTTTTGTTTTGATTTGATTTCATTGCCAAGGCAGCAGCAGCAGGATGGAGYAATGTTTGCTGTCGTGGCAGGTCCTCAATGAGGTGGTGGTGGATCGTGGCCCTTCCTCCTACCTGTCCAACGTGGATGTGTTCCTGGATGGGCACCTGATAACCACAGTGCAGGGAGATGGTGAGTGCTGCTTTCATGGCTTCCATTGCTCTTTTYCTGGAGCATTTCCTGCTGGAACCAGAGCTGACAGCAAACACGAGAGTGCACAGAATAGGTGTGGTGGTTATTCCTTCTGTGAAGCTTTAAGGTGCTGAAAGATTTTGTTTATGGGCTTGTGAGGGCAAGTAACTCATTTTTGGGTATCATATTTCAGAGGGTAAGAAATAGCTCTGAAAAGATTGGCTGGAATTTGCTGAAGGCAAACAATCTCAACTCATAACCACAGGAGTTAATCTTTAAAGCTCTTACTCTTAAARAAAAAAAAATGAAAGTCACTGTTACAAAATCRTGTAACCTGAGATGCAGAAATTTGTGCAACTTCTGGAAGCACATGGGGGATCAGGAGGGATTTCCTCACTCTGTGTGTGTTGGGCTGCAGTTCAGCTGTGAAATGCAAGTGGAGATGTTTATTTTCCTGGCGGGGGATTGGTTGGTGTCTCCCAGAGTAAATAAGCCCTGGTTTACCTGTCATTTATTTATCAATCTGTCATTCATCTGTCTGTAATTTATCATTATCTATCATTTATCTGTCTGTCATTTACCACTATCTATAATTTATCTGTCATTTATCATTTACCTATCATTTCCCCCCAGTTTCCCTGCCTTTTCCCCCGAGTTTCCCCCCCA